TGTGCGCTGCACACTTGATCAAGCACCGACTGCTATGTTCAAAGTGAATTTCATCGACAATCAGATGACCGAAAGAAGTTAGCTGCATGAAATAAACTTTTTAGACGGTCATGGCAATATTTCCTACTTTTTTAATCAATGCCTACCATTATGAAATTGCTTGAGCTAAATTATTTACTAGCCTTAATATTTTAGCATCACATAAACGTAAGATTATGAGTTCCTTGACAAAAAAGATACTTTGAGCACGACTTTAAGTTATGAAAAATTGACCAAAGTTAGAATTATTTTGCTGTTTCGGGATTGTGTGTTGAGTTTGCCTTATTTGAAGTGAACTAACTTCTTCCCCTAGACTATTTAATTGACAAAGGAGAATGGCTCAACCACTAGAAAACCCAAGTCCTAGTCAACGATATCCGCCTTGCGCAATGGTGCCGCCTTTACCCCCACCCTTCGGATTGGCTGCCGCACTGACAGGCCCGCGTTTGCCGCTGCCCCCACCGCCCCCACCACCGCCACTACCCCCTGGTGCCTGCGCTCCACATCCGATGCTGATGCTACAGTGGATGCGCTCCCTCCTTACCCAGCCACAACCACCACCCACATCCTCTACCGTCGCTGCCGCTGTACCACCACCGCCACCACCAACATCGGTGCAGCCGTTTTGCGCAGCGTCGGAGGCGGTGCAACTGGCTGGACTGCTGAGTGCAGCAAAGAACGGAGCTCCGCAGCAGGGGTCAGTGCCACCGCCTCCGCCACCGTCGCTCAACTCGTATCAGCAAGAAACGGTAGAGTGGCAACACACTAATCAGGTCAGATACCTAGTAAATCGTTCATCATTAGTTTCTCCTTTTAATCATTTGGGATCTTTTCGGCTTGATAATAAGCCTAATTTTGCTCTTTATTTTTAATCTTTCTGTACAAGCTTTTACGGTCCCCTACTGATATACATCTTGAAATAGTACGTTTAGCTAACATTCTATTTTGATGGTAGGCTAGCATTTAAGAACAAACGGCCGTGTGATATAGCCCTCCAACGCGTCTTACTCACACCAACTGAGCGAATTGTTAGCTTTATTTGATCTGAAAGGGGAAGCCATGGTTTTTTTTAGATTTTGTATGAAAGCGAAAGCCTTCACGTGAATGTATGCAGCCCCTTTATTCTGTGTTTGAAAGGAAAACGAATACGCTGATAGTGGCCTAATTCCAAGTTTGTCTAATTTTTATTGTTTTTCGATTAGTTCTAGCAGATATCGTTTTGAAGCTGTCCAATAACGTTCTGCTGTATGACAGATCATAATGCTGAACTTTGAGTTGCGAGAGACTCATGTAATTAAAAGATGGTAGTCATATTCCACCGTGTTTCCATCGTTGCAGCGCATGCGTTGTCCCCGAAATGCCAAAAGTACTTGGCTTGTGTGCTTGTGTGTGGATTGATACTGGTGTGATAGCATGCAGACACTTGTTTACTCAACTAAAAATTTAGAAAAACATTCACAACCAAAATCTATCCATTCGATACAACTCTAAAGTGTGTAAGAAAAGATTGCTCTTTCTTCTGAATTGTCCTAATTATCTTCATTCTTATTTTAAGAATCACTTAGAAATAGTGATTTTAGCGTAAAGAAAGTGCAAATCTTATCCTCACAGGACAAAATAAGACAAGAGGACGCAACACAGGAGCTCAAATCGCATTTGGATAGACTGACCGACATTTAGAAGAAGATACTAGCACATTAGCCTCTTCATCTTCCCTATTTCCTTCATGGTATCGCTCTAAGTGATGAATATCGGCCTGCCTTGGTAACAGCATTGGACAATCGTGGGATCACAGGATCATCTGTGGAATGGCATATGCAGTTAGGTGGGAAATGAACTTGAGTAGAAGATGGAATTGGTTCGGGGGCTGGGTTGTTTCTTTGGCTTCCAGCAAGGAGAGATTTCATGCAAATCAATTATGCGCACCTCTGCCTTGTTAAGGCAGGCTAATATATTACGATGGCGATTCTACTAATTGGAAATGTTTTGAAACGTTTTTGATATTTACTTAATTTTTTCTATAGGAAACGCAGTAACTTAACTGTTTATCTTTTGTATTTACAATAGTAAGTATCTACCAACCTGATTCCAAACAGTTCATCACCATGAAACAATGATTTTGTCATTGAGTCGTATTTGCCCTCTTCTTCATTTGTTTGAATTTCTTCACTGATGTGCCAACAAAAGTGAGCAGTTTAGATAGAACTTGGAAACACGGTGACCCCGCGGAACTTATTAACTACGGAGGCACGGGGTAGAGATCACATAGGGTGAATGGTTTCCCTATACAAGCGCCTCAATTACCACCTCTTCACTCTCAATTAGACGAATCCCCTCTACTTAAGCATGCTGGAGGGCGGAAGGAGAGGTGTTTCAGTGTAGTACTCAAATTGAATGGAGGAAAACAAGTGCAGCCCCATCAAGTTTTAAGTGATATTCTGATAAGCTTGGTAGTAAAAACATGCTGTTCTTTGTCAGATTCTCGTTTAAAGAGTAAAGTGCTATTCGGTGCTATCCCATGGGATGACGAGAAAGGCTTCACTTAACGGATTCGTTCAGTCGTCCACCACCCAGGTTATAGGGCAAACGTTTTAGTTTAGCTGCTAACATTGCCAAATTGGATTAGTCATGATAGAAGTTTAAATATCTTATAATGTATGACCCCTGTCATCTGGATAAACGTAGCTCTTTGTCTTCTTTTTATTATCTTACCTTTTTATGAAACTATCATTGTGAAGAAGTGAATTGAAAATATAAGTTGAAAAGTTCTAAATCGTCCACATGAAAAGTTGCTACACTGCCGAAGCGGCAATTTTAAACAACAGGCCCTCTTCAAAGGTAAGATTTTTAGAAACGTATTTGCTCACTCACTTGTTCAAGGTTTTACTGATCCAGTGGAGAAGACTTGAAATTTCCCTACCAATTTCCAACCAGCGGCCCCAGACAACCCTTTCTCGACTGCTGTAAACGAACCGAGTTTTCGTGTTCCATGTGCCTATGCCAAAAAATTGCAGACACGCAAAATATCAGATCAAATACACCGGATGGATGGTGTTGATGGAACGCTGATAACTGCCGAGAACCGACTGGGAGTAAGAAAGGTGATAAGCATTTTGCAAGGTTTGCATGCCTTAACGAATTCACGTCAAAGTAGCGGGGCAAGCCAACTGACTGAAGTGCCTCTTATAAATGGCATCTGGGTTTTGACTGATCATGACATTTTACTAGCTGTTATTTAAGTAGAAAAGTGTTTCACGAATGTTGCCTTACATTTCCACAGGAGGAATCGGAACAGCTGAGGCGATTTCGCCATGCCCTCTGCACTGGCAGCCTAGATCCACAGACGATGAAAATGTACCAGAGTTTCAGGTGAGAATTTCTTGTAAACCAATTAATTGATTTCCATTATTCGATTACCACCGCAAGCCCATGCGTATTACAATCATCACTTGTCCAATAATCAATACAATGGAGCATTAATCAACGAGTGATTGATAGGCTAGTGTTTGCATGCTTTGGATTTTGCCTCTAGAAATATTTCTTTTTAGCACAGACGTTTTTGTACGATAAAAAGGGTTAAAAATGCTTTAGCTTGTTCTAAATAATGAGTGAGAAAATTTTATCTCAATTTGAAAGTTTTGCAAAAAAACTAAAACAAGGAGATAGAAGGGTAAATGATAATGATCTATTCAGTCTCAAATACTGTGAAGACTAACTATATTTAAAGTAAGTTTAACTTTTTCTAGCTGAAGTTAGACAGATATTGGGTAGATGAAGTCTCGGGCTAGAGCGGTGGATCTGACCTTGAAAATTACACTCGCCTAATAATTCCCAAATCTTTGGTCTTAGGGCAGTATTAGCGCCCGTGTATTTACAAAAATCACAGAATTTTTTTCTGTGCACCCTTAGGGATCTCTCTGAAGATGTTTTGAGGCATTTCAATCTGAAATTAGCTCTACTGTGCACATACGTGTAGGGTGGTGGGATGGATGCCATAGGCAAGGGCTAAGGAGGAGATGGAAAGACAGTGCTAGCAAATGTTATTTTATTTCCTGTGACTTCAATATCATACGTTTTAGTGACTTTTTCAGGTACTCCCTAAAGGTGAACAATCACGGTACACCCCGACGTAAGAACACTACCCGAGAGACCACGGGTCTATTGAAGGCTTGGCTGAACGAGCACCGAAATAATCCCTACCCCAACAAGAGTGAAAAAATTATGCTGGCAGTGATCACAAAGATGAGTCTCACCCAGGTTTCCACGTGGTTTGCCAACGCACGACGTCGGTTGAAGAAAGAGAACAAGGCGACGTGGAGTTTGGCGTTGGATCAGCAATTCCCAGACCTAGATGAGGGCTTCCATGGTCCCGCTGGGGAAGAATTTCGGGAGTGTGAGGCATACCCAACTCCCTCGCCTCCTCCACCTCCTCGGCTTCCTCTACCACCTTATGAGGAAGAAGGGAGAGAGGAAGACATGGATGCAGTAGGGGTTGGAGAGGGGATGAAGGGGACGACAGCGACGACGCCAGAGCCCAAACGGAGTGGAAAAATTTGGTCTGTAGTCGAGATGACGGAAGGGAGATAGAGGCGAGGGGCATCATTGTCACTGTACATACTTATATGCATATTTGATCATACATGATTTTTCCGATTTTTCTCAGTTAAGGTTTTAAAATCAAAATAACTATGCAAAACTGAACCACTTAGAGGATATTTTGTCAAAGAATATTTGAAAATATGAAAAACTGCGTTATGAGACTGAGAGGCACATTTGACCTATGGTATGCAAAAGGACTTGTTTAAATATACGTCGGCGAACCAGCTTTAGAGTGGACGCGGATAAAACATGCATGCGAAGCTGGGTGTAGGCCAAAACAAAATGACTAGACCGCAACGTCAATGATCCCTCATTGCAATTCTACTGCATCTGCAGTTTCACCCTGTATGAAGGGTGGACTTGGGGAAGGGGAATGTGCTGGTCGACACGCGTGTCCGTGCCTAGGCATAGAAACACTGACCTAAAAGCAGGGTTATGTGAGACAGGACGGGATTTAACACAGGTCCGTGGGGGAAGGATTTCGTGTCTGTTCCTTCTTGTCATGTTGTTCTCACTTCAAAGCTGCCCAGTCCTATGTATATGGATTGTATGCAGGTAGAAGAGAGGTGGAGGAGGTGTCGTGTGTTCACTTCATTGACATCTTCGCACACGTAGGATAGGTAGCTGCGTAACGAACTTGTTAAGATGTTTTACTGTTAGTGTTGCTTCATTTGTTAATGGCTTTCTTGTGGAAGACGGGACAGGGGTGATTGCCGAAGGTTGGCATCATTTTCAGTCCTTTTGTTAGGAGTCGCTACCTTTTTTTCCATTCGTAGCACATGAAGTTCTTCCACCCCGCTTAGGTTTGTCACTCAGTACTAGAAGTAAGGATAGATGTCCTTTAAGATTTAATTCGCTTCCCACTACCACCATAGTAAGGCATCAAGACTTTTCTAAAGACTAGAGAAGACATAACACTCCTGTAGAATGTACACATTCAACATACAGTGGGGCTTGAGGTTACTGGCATGGCCTGGCGGCCAGCCCATCCGGTGAGAGGGTACAAAGACAGAGTACTGTAGTGGCTCCTCAACCAACACGGAGAGTTGAACAAGCAACCAACTTGTTAAGGGACAACTTCTAGTTAGTGTCACATGTGTTTTTAGCATTTAAATCTTTAATCACACTGACTTTCCACGACGGTACTCAAGTGAGGTTGACTTGACCTCTGCACATCTTAGCGGACCCCATCCATTCGGATGAAGGCGGGTGGGTATAAACTGCCTCGTAGTCTACTCACTTGCCTTTTACTTCGAAAAGCTGTAGCGCCCAGAGTCAGTCCTGAAGCCACAGCAAGTATGTTGATATAGAAGAATGGTTCGCTGTGAGCACACAGAAGGAGTAGGAGGCTATAGACATGACCTCCCGGTAGTACCACCTATGCTACCCACGGAGGCCGAAGGGCCAGCGTAGCTACATATACAGTTCGGTCATTTTGAGTTTAGTCGAGTCTCCTTGCGAGGCACAACCAACCATCACAAGATGAGATGGCGACATCGCATCACAGGAAAAATGCTACGTATTAGTGACAGTGCATATTGTGAGTCGGGTCGGGGCTATAAATATAGCGAAAGAAAAGGATTCATTCCGAAGTGGCAACGGGCCACTTAGGGGCTCCGCCATTGTGCCTATACCGGGTGGCCTGGCATCCGGGCCATGTTCGTAGCCTTACGTCCTACAGCACATAATCGGCAAAAGCACCATGACTTTCCCTTTCTTCAGGGACGTCTCAGAGCGCTATAATACAAAATACCAATGCTTTTTGTAGCACTATTTGCCTTAAAAAAAGAAAACGCCGAGTAGTATCGTGCCCGCTGCGTGTGATATGAATGGTTGAGTTCAGGGGCATACAGAAAGCGCCTTTAAGGTCAATTTGAATGCATTGACATCTGATTCTCCCCATTAGCGGTCACCATGTACAACTCGGAATTGAGAACCACACCAAAACAAGAAGTCGTTTTACCTCAGCCCAAGGCGCTAGTGTTTGCCAAACAACCACCAAAATAAGTCATTGTTCAGCAGGACTAGATTTGCTCATCGCTGTCCCCTATGCAGTGCTCCGAATCATCCATGAGGCCACAATAGACGTATCAATATAGGAGGGTAGTTTGTAATAGACGTGCAAAAGAGCTGGAAAACTACTGACATACCAAACAAGACCGAAGGTGCAGCCTGAATCATACGTCGACTCCCATGACACCACTTTTGATGACCCAAATGACTTGTCTAGAAGCAAATGCTTGGTGATGCCCTGGCACGTATAGATTCACTGCAATAAACTACGCCCTCATCTAGATCATGCAGTCACCTGTTCCACTATTAATAGGGACGCATCTCCCACAAAGGAGGCTAGCATCCGGAATAATCGAATTTTGAATCAGCACACCAGCCTACATATCACTTACCATCCATGAGATCCGATCTCCGCAAAGCATTTCCCAAGCCATAACTTCACTAGATTCAAAGATGAAGAGTACTTGTGGCGTGCCACTGTAACCACAGTATCAGACACTGATAGAAAACTCAAGCATCAGTTAGACACACCCATAGAGGTACACATGCGGGTGCAAAGAAAAGCCGCACGACCAGACACACACACGCACGCAGATGTACATCGATACGTAGCCAGAAAAGGAGGGAAAAGAAGAGCCAACCACGGAGGCAAATAAATCCAGCAAAAAAAAATGACCCAGAAAGGAGGGAGGGGAGAGTTAAAAAAGGCCAGAGCTCCGCCGTCGTCGCCACTGCCGCCAGCTAGGGGAGACTGCTCATGTACTGCACCAGAGCCATGTCAGGATCCCAGTCGGTTGCCTGGAGGAGGGCAATTGCGCGTTCTCGTGGCACGTTCTGACTCGTCAATAGACGCACCTTCGAGAGTTGCTCTTCTGTGAAGGCCTGCACAGAAACGAAAAGACACAACGCGTTAGTGATACTTTTCGCAAGCCTTTGCGCTCCCTTCCAATATTCTAGAGCTCTGATTAATGTTTATTATAAGCCTTCCAAACATGTATGTCACATGCCTTTAGAGGTGACTTAAAAACCACAACTATTGTTACAGAACAGCTATTTGCGAAATACACAATCATGTGTAAGTCCCCGGAGGTATTCTATGCACGACTTCGGTGACAGCACAAAGAAATCTCATCAACACTTTTGTCAATCAAGGATTTTACAAGAGCACCGAAGATTTGGGCCATACTAAAGCGCTGTTTCAAAGGAAGGTAGCATGGAAATAGTAATGGAAAAAGGCATACGCTTGAGACAAAACAGATGTGTCGAGTTGCCACCCATTCCGCACTTGGTCAGTGCCAAAACAAAATCTTTCATTTCACGTTCCTACTGAAAAAACTAAGACCTAGTCCGCAACCACTAAACGTTCAGGACTGACACAGACAATGGTGCTGACGATCCGAGTCATACTGATCTGCTACCTCAAAGGAAGCCAACATTGGAAAAAATGGGCAAAAAAAGCGAAAAACCCTCATTATGCGTGGCTGAAACCACGGCTACACGCAATAGAGGCGTTAAACGGCTACTAATTCGACACCTTAATGTTAAAGCGATTGGCCTCTTCATGCAAAACTCCTCCCGAAACAATGTGGCCCACTTCCGGTAGTCATTCTTCAGGACTAGTTCATGCACCACAGAGTTCACGAATTGATATCGATAGGTAGGTTGACCCGATTAAAGCAGTAAAATTTTCAGCAAAACTGAAGCCAATCTGTGAAGGCAAAATACTGCCGGGGTCATCATTTAAAGGCTCAAGAAGCCTCAGGAGGTGCTATATGAACAATCAAAGCGGATTAATTTGAAGAAATGAAAGAGAACACGCGATGCAGACGGAGTAGTGACGTAATAGCAAACATCATGTGGGGTGTCGTGGTGCCCACCCTAACCACGCACGCCCCAAACTCAAAAGGCGTAGCAACTCATTCACCTACTTCACACAATCACCTATACCACCCACCCATCATCATTATCAAACAACCTCAAGATCTCCAAATGGCTCTAAGACAACGCGACCATAGCTTTGACTAGAATTACCCATCATTTGGGGGAGTAATCTATTCAACAGTAAATACGAGTATGTGGGTGAAATAAAGGGTGGGATTGAAAAAGAGGTCAATAACAAACCTCATCAGAGCTGGAGGTTACTTGAGAGACAAGGCCGAAGTTGGAGGGTTTAGCAAAGGCCGGCAGCTCGGATTCGGGAAGAAAGGGCACATTAGTGTGATCGCCCACAGTAAGGACATTCTCGGCGAGATTAATACAGCATCTGTGCCGCTTCAGCATGTCCAGCCCTATCATAATGTCCATTTGCTGCTCCTCCAGCACAATGAATGATGTCTGGAAGGGAGAGAAGGGAAGGAAAAAGGAAATGTAGTAAAAAAATTATTGCGCCAAAAATAAAAGCAACTCTACGATGTTAGACCACTTAATCACAATTTGGTGGGTGGAAAGAGGATAAAAGTAATAAACTGGTGCAAGAATGAGACTCACAGGAACCGCTGTACCACCGAGTTTGAGTTGTGCCTGGTGAATTCGGCCGATAATTTTTTGGGTGCCAACACCATAGGCCATACCCTGGAAGCGCTTATCGATCAGGTGCTCGAGGTTGCAACTGCGAGCACAGGAGAGGCTCATGAGAGTTGTTTGAGCGCCAGAATCGACAAAAGCCTTCATAGGGAAACCGTTCACTTCACAGGCCACATAGAGCATCGTGACGGCACCAAAAGTCTCTGGGTAGTGCTCCATTGCTGACTCCATTTCGCGATCGATGTTCTGCTGTCTAGAGGAGTTGAGACAGATATACTTTTTTGAAAAAATCTAGCGCGAAAAATAAGAAAGATGGGAGAGGGGCAAAATAGTTACCTGATAAGTCTCTCGATTTGCCGCTGTACCTCGGGATCCAACGGATCAGCAGCTGTCAAATCAAAATCAGTTCCCGGAGGCCTAATTGTTTGAGAATAACGCCAAAATGCATCTAAAACAAAATTCCAGGTCAGATTAGCACAACATATCAAACATGCGAAAAGGGTTTGGAAATCGACACATCCTTCGCCACTACAACCCAGCACAGTTAAACTGACCACTTCAACCACTGCCTCATTATTTTAAACACAAACAATGTGTTCGCAACACAATTTTGTGAAAGAAGTCATCATAAACTACCCAAAACGCCACATATTTGTAGTGCCAGGGTTGGATTAAAGAATCGCCTAATCACATATCTGTGACGGCCGCAAAGAAAATTCTAAGATAAAACACCTGAGTCCTGCAAGGCCTCATAGAATCGAGGATCCTGTTCACAAATCCTAGCCAACTGTTGGTCTGGAAGACGTAAGAAAGACTGTCGAACGGTTTCCACAGCGGAGACACTAGCCAAGGGGTTGGGTGATGTTGAAGAACCGGGAAAGGCGACTGCAGAGCCTGGTAAGGGGTTCTTAAAAGTGTCAAAGTAACTCTCCTTCTTACATTGACGGATGACACTGATTCGCCGAACTGTACAGAGAGGAGGTCATTATCATGGAGGTTACAATCATTAACTGTGTTGCTTGATTCAATGGCCAGACGTTGATCATTCTTCAACAGCACTATTTTCGACTCTGGCACTCCCGCTTCAATAGAAACCATCAGTCGGAGACTACTCATAAGTGTTTCACTGGGAGTATCAAACGATACAAGACGCCCATCGGGAAGAACCAAAGAAAGCCTCATCCCTTTGACAGCCTGCGAATGAGGTTGTGGGATTCCGGCAGCCCTGGCGATTCATACAAAGCGGCAATGTTTAAAAAACATTACCAGGAATATACTTGTCAAAAAGTGTAAAATGTGAAAGGCTTATGTGCACACCGTACTTTAACTTTGAATGTTCTGAGTTCTCAAAAGTCCTTAAGCCAAGAATGCATTTGCATTCGATAGACACAGATGTTCCCAAAAATTACAAACCAGAAAGCTTTTTTGTAATTGCCGAAATTGCCCATTTACTATTAACAATTATTTGCAATCATCGGTTTGTTAAAGAACTTGATCCATAAGGAAGATTTTTTTAGATATAAACACGGATAATAACCTTTATTTCAAAATCATTACAAGAAGGATTCCAAAGCAAATTTTAATTTTTGTAAAGGCAAAATTTGGGTTGTACTGTCTAAAAAAGCACTGGACTGGAAGCCACTATAACATGCGAATTACGTCCTCTGGAAATATGACGTGCTTTATGTTGTAGATATGCACTATACACTAACTTTGAACTCTTCTGAACTTCTTTATACTTGCAAACACTTTAATCACTTTAGATTGTTTGAGGTGCATTAGTTGGCAACTAAACCAAATTCGGCTTTTTTCACTGCAGAATGTGAGTGGTGTATTTCTTATGAACGATTTAGGAGCAAAGTTGAATGCAAATATCACCCTTATGCTACATTGATCGAGGATTCGCACGCTGGAGACATGGTTTGCTCAATGTGCGGTCTTGTGGTTGCCGAAAGGGTAATTGATGTGGGGTCAGAGTGGCGAACTTTCTCAAATGACTCGAACGCAAAGGATATGTCTCGAGTTGGTGCAGCCGAAAACCCTCTCTTTAATGGAGGGGATCTTTCTACCATGATTAGTGGAACATCTTATAATGACCCGCGTCAACTCGACGAGCAAGGCAGGGCTCTCTACCGCAATCGTCGTAACATATCCGGATCTGATCGAGCTCTCATAAATGCATTCAAAGAAATAAGCCAAATGGCAGAAAGACTTAATCTCCCTAAAAGCATATCGGTGGGCGCATCGCAATTACTTATCATGCCATATTTTCCTTCCGACAACAGACGCATATAAAATCTCCATCTTTTTGATATACTCAGCCTTGAGAACTTTTATCGTAGGGTTTAATTTTATCTGCTTTATATGGCTACTCGACATCTAGAAACCTGTGTTGTAACATGATTGTTGCACTTGGTAAAATTAGTTCATGCCTGTCTGCCTCATGTTGCTATTGCTGGCTTCATTTCACGTAAATGTGGTCTTGCCCTTGGGGCAATTCCATCGTTTTTCATAGTTTTTTAAGTGGAACGTTGTCTTTGGGGACTCATGAGCGTTGGGTTGTAAATATAGGATCATGCCAACCTTCTGTTTAAACAAGTCTATGAAACTAAGAACCTCCGTGGACGAAGTAACGATGCCGTCTCCACTGCTTGTCTTTACATGGCTTGCCGTCAGGAGGGTGTCCCCCGGACATTTAAAGGTTCGTATTGGCTCTCCTCACCCTTTATTTTTCTGTGTACACACAACGCCTAATACTAAGAAATTTGCCAATGCTCCTGTGTAGAGGTGTGCGCAGTGACACGGGTCTCCAAGAAAGACGTTGGTAAGGTCTTCAAGAAGATCCTCAAGACTCTAGAGACCAACGTGGCCTCCGTATCAGTGGAAGATTTCATGACGCGTTTTTGCGCCAACCTTAATCTCGACATCTCCGTGCAGCAGCTGGCCAACACGGTTGCCCGACGTGCACTCAACCTTAACCTCGTGTCTGGACGGAGTCCCGTCTCTGTGGCTGCTGCCGCTATCTACATGGCTGCTTTGGCCCTTGGATGTCGCAAGGAGAAAAAGGGTGAGCCTTTCCAGCTCTCTATTCTTTTCGTCTTCAGATTAATAGATTCTACTCTCTTCCATAAATTATTAAAGGAAATAGTTAATTGAGGTTTAAAGTCAGGCTAATGATGTATTTAAAATATTCAACTAGGTGATGATTCAGTCAATCGAGTAATTGTTTTCTGCTAATGGACACTTAGTTTGGTAGCAGATGTTTTGAGAACTTCCGCTCTGGGTGGTAACTTCAATTGTGGTAAACGTGAACCGAGCTGACATCACTTGTAGTGAAGGCGCTTCCCCTAAATCCGCATATCAAGACCTTAAAAAGATACACGAATATGCCTCGCTTGGAGAAGCTCATTTAAAATAAGGAATTCATCTTCTCAAAGCCACCATTTTTTTTACCGAAACACAAGGTCATTTTGGAATGTCCGTATAATTGAAGTACACGAATTAAATTTCACTTTATTGCATAAATGCAGTGGGGTTTTGCAGACATTTACGGGTCAGATCAAAAGATCGAAGCTATACAGTTAGTGCCTGGGTTTCGCAATTAATGTCACATTGAAACTGAGTAAATTTGATGGTGTTTGCAACTATCGCCTGCGACTGATGCACCAGTTAGTAGTATCAGTGATGTAGTAGACAATTTAAGTCAGGCTGAATCGATGGCACGCGAGTTGAACCTACCAGTTTTCCTCGATAGGGCGTACCATATCGTATTGTCACATGGAAACTGGCCACGCCCGTTAAATTGGAAGCACGGTATTCGGCCGTGGTCATAGGCTCACCACCCTTGCACTGACCAACAACCACCTTGTCTCCTGGGCATCAATGATCTTACTGAAGATCTCGTGATCACTACGAATTACCTTAACTGTTTGTACTAGGCCGAAAACTACTAGCCGATGGCCTCTTCAATTTTCTGCCGGTACACAGCTTGGAACTACTCCCCATTAAATGTCAGTTGTATTTGACAGTTCAAAACCCACGTGATTAATTAGAAGCGAGGCCGTACCCACCAAACCGCTTTTCCCCTCGACTGCCACCCACCGAAGTGGACCCATTACCACCGCGAGTGTTTTGAGGATTTCAAATCCGACGGCTCAACAATAAGCAAGTTATTGCGACGCAACCACCTTTGAGATGATATAGCCACGGTTTAAATAGTTGAGTTTTATCTTTTACCATTCGCGAATCGCACCTTTCTCACCCCTCTTCACAGAAATCGGCGACGTGGCAGGCTGTGCGGAGGCCACAATCACTTGCACGTACCGGGCAATGCACCCGAGGGCGGTGGAACTCTTTCCCGACGATTTGCGACTCTGTATCCGACCAGAAAAGTTCCCCCCTTGATCATCGTCACCACTGCCTCATTCCTTTCCCGTTGATTCGAACCTTTTATGCCGTAAGACTTGTAGAAACACTTATTACTTACGTACAGCTCGTGTACAGATAAGCGAGTGATTAAATGAACGGTGACAAAGAGAATGATACGGGGTGGGTGTTGCAAAAGGCGACGTGAGGGAAAGAGATGGTGAGTCAAGCAGATTGCACAGGTTCAGCATGTGTGTGCGGATGACAGTGGGAAAAGTGTGGGGAGTAGTGGAGGGAGGGGAGGAAGGGGAACTTCCCCAATTGTTCCTTAAAATGGCACTACGGTGTCTTCAGTTGCGGTGTCTTCGACTGTTCTGCTGTTCTGTCGTCTTTGCTTCGTAGCCTCCCCCCTCTCCTCGGAGGATTACTGCAGGTTTGGAGGAGGAAGGAGTAGGAAGAGGCTATTGATGCAACACACTGTGAGAACCAACGCACGCACTCTTGTTCACATCTCTCACTCTCCGACTCTTTCGCTTTCTCGCCCTCTCTTCTTCACTTGGTGCTCGTGCTCCTATCACCGACGGAAGGTTCGGTAGTTGACATACGAAGGTGGTGGAGGTAGGGAGACACTACAGCAAAACCAATAATAAACAAGAATGGCGAACTGACCCTCAAAATGGGATGAGGAATGAATTTGGGGCCTTGGTAGACCAAGAATTGGGCGGAGATTAGGGTTCCTCATTCGCACACGATAAAAAGACTGCTGAAGTATCGCGGCAGTTAGGTAAGTATTTTGAATTGTTGGGGCTTGAGTTATGCCCTTTCTGGACATTTCAGTTGGCTCATTAAAGCGGTTCGACAATGCGATTTTACGCTGCGCGGGTAGTTGGTATTTAAAAAAAACGCACAATTTTTAACAAGCCAATTGAGCTTTGTGGTAAAAGAACATATTTCAATGGGTGATCTACCTGGAGGTTCCAAAAACAGCCTCAGCATCCGGAGCCCGTTTGGGATGATTGTACTTCAACCATCGGTCACGGTTTACATTCGAAGGTATTTGGGCCAGGAGATCGGAGTTGAGGCAGTCTACAGAGGTGAAGATTGGCAGAGAAGTAGCAAGGGGAGGAACATATAGAAAAGGCCCAACTTACTGGTCTCATCGGCTTCCTTCTGGGCTTTATGCATCTCGAGAACTCGTTCTTTAAGTCGCGCCTTCTCCTCCCGCTCCTCGGCTTCAATGCGAAGCAGACGTGCAGCGAATGGAACGGACCGAGGCACCGTTAATGGTACCAAGCGGGGCCGACTGGCACCCCCACCAACACAACTATTACCGCCAGATCCGCCACCTCCTGGTCGCCGTACCACCAGACTGAATTGGACAACTGATGGTGGCTCTACCTGGTCCTTGGGGGTTGTTGGCTGCAAAAAGATAATCGAACAAAGTGAACAGCTAATAAGCCAGTGGTAAAATGTTCGCTTTAAATAAACAATACGCATTACCATGCTGCCCGTGAGATCACTGTTGAGAGGCGCAGTAGGAATGCGCGGGGTCGTGGACTCCAGTGCCGCGATTATGTTCTCCGCCGTTGACTGGGTCTGCGCAGCGGCAGAGCGAGCAGCGGCCTTGCGGGCAGCAGCGGCGCCCACCCCAAGGCTCTCCAACGAGGGCAATAGGGAGGCTGTGCCGGGGATGGCGGTGGAGGTGACGGTGGCCGCGGGGCCAGCAGGAACCCCGGCACCAGGCATTATCGCCTCTGCGGTCATTCGCTCCAGCTCTGCCACAAACTCATCGTCCTCAGGACACTTCATGTACTTGGGTCGTAGACCAAGTCGTACCATCTCGTCCTCCTCCCCTTCTTCCTCTTCTGCGTCGTCCTCGCCATCTTCATTATCCTCATTCTCTTCGTCAACACCGATCTCATCAGAGTCCTCATCCGGCGCCAAAGTGACCGTATCTTCATCTTCATCATCATCACCAGCTGACTCACTGCCACTTTCTTCACCCATCTAAGTGGGGAGGGAGGGGTAATTTAGGAATCTATTTTCCTTTAAATAAAAAGCGATTAAAGTGTGGAAATCAAAACATACCTTTCCATTACGCTGCCTGGAGTTGGTACCAGCCCCATTTTCACCTTTGAAAAACTCCTCTTCATCGTCTGAATCATCCTCGTCCAGTTTGAGATCGTCTAACAGGACGATAAAAGCACAGAAATTCAAATCCACAGTTGGGTTGCAGGGCGATGTTGCGTAATCATTTGCATGACGGGCTGACGGTAATGTGACTAATAAAGTGGAAGTGGGACGGGACGGGATAGAACGGGTGAACTAGTGCATCCATATGGTATCTTAATATCAAGGATTAGCAGTTTTATTAAAACAATGCATTAGCCCAGACAAGCCAACATATTAACAAGTAGAATCGACAGATTACTTGAGGAATAAGGTTCTAAAGGCGAATGTAACCATAAATAAGGCCTGTGAAACAGGATGTGGTAAGGGAAAAAACGGACACATTTCTTACCCCGTTTCCCTATCATCTAAGCTTAAATTATTTGCCAATCCAATGCCACATCTGCGTCAATGTTTTAATAGCACGCTTTTAAGGGTTACAGGGTAATCTGTGCATACAATAACGAAAGAGAAAGATTAATCTTAACGAGGGACATAAAAAAGATATACTTTCCCTTGGATTATTAGAATTATTCGGCACAGTAGACGATAGATAAGAACGGAGGTTAAAAAGGAATGTAAAGGACACTAATAATCAAGAAGAGTACTGATGAAACAATGAAAAAGTGTGGTTAAGTAATTGTGACTTATAAAGTTAGGACGGAGCAATCGTTCTACAGGAAAATAGTAGCTCAGCTTTATTAATCAGAATTTGCATCACCATCGCACCACCACAGCAACTGATTGATTTCTTCGAATTGTGAAAACCCAACTCCCACCCAATGAGGCACAGAAAGGATACTTTTCCGTTTGTTCTTTCTCCCTTTAAACTTAAACAAGCTACTCAGCTACGATGGTGAGACTGGTTCGGTCTTTTAGGGGCTTCAAAAATGGACGAGAGAGTAGAGACTGACCTTCCTCCGATATGGTCTCCATTACCCCAGTACGAGAAGACCCCTTGTGTGTACTGAGACCATAGGACTGCATGAGTTGAATCATGCGCTGAGTGTAGCGCCTCTCTACGCTCTGCACCAGAGCTTCCGCCTCCTCCAGACTTCGGATTGTGGAGGGTTTCATTTGTAGGTGACACAGTGTCTCCTCAAACTGCTGCTCCACAGCGTCGGGGAAGGGAATTCGTTCAAAATGCTCCAGCTCCGGCGGCAACTGATCCCCACCCGTGGCTATGGTAGTAGTAGGTGAATGTGGTTCTCCTTCTTGCTTCTCTCGCTGTTCTGTAATACTGTTGGTGGCCGCCCACTTGGGAGGTGTGAATATGGGATGCATTCGCTTGGACCAGTAGTAACGCTACGGGAGAATGAAAAAGAGGACTAAGTTAGTGAAAACCTGAAGCTCACCTGAAAATAGACGACAAATATGTTGAGTTTCTTGCGTCGGCTGCCTCGGTCGAAGTAGGACCCACAAGTATCCAACAGGATGCAAACTAGGGGAATGCGCGCCAGCGAGGTGGGTGGGTCGATTAGACTTGGATTGAGACCTGTAGGTGAAGGAGAAAGAGGCATAGTCAAACTCGGAACAAAATGATCACTTACAGTCCAGGCTGACACCAAAGGTAATGAGCGAGTAGAGAGTTGTGAATATGACCGGCGATTCAATAAGTTTGTAGTTGTAGAGCAGACCAAGGTACTTCACTGTGCTCAGTCGCCGTTGGTTCATTGTTTGATCATTTCTCTACAATAAAATGGCATTTCAAGTGTTTATATGACTTCAAAAATTTCTCTAATCTAAATGAAAATTTTGATACGTAAACATTAATCCCTATGCAGCATTGAATTGCCAACCAAGAGAAAAGAAAAATTGAAAAAGGACAGCTTCAAAACCTCACTTCAAATTTTGCGATTTAGCATGCCTCTGGATTACATACCTCCATGCCAACACGCACGTCTTCAATGACATTGTCGACAACAGCAACAGCAAAGTCTTTGTGGTAAAGTGAGAGGCCCGAGAGGACGCTGGCTAGGCAGCCGATATACTGGAAGCGCACCTGCCAACTACTGGTGAAGAGATCTTTCATGAAAGAGACCAGCTGGAAAGTGTGATGGGAAGGAAACTTTTTGGACCGAAATTGAGGCCATTGTCAACTCGTTCCCAAAGGACTTTGACTTACCAGTGCGTCATTCCAGTCCATCTTTCGTAGGATTTTGAGCACGGAGTTTACGGAATTGCGATTCAAGTCGCGCCAAAGCAACTGCCTTAGGAAACGCTGCAATGGAGTCAGTTCCACCTGCCCGAACTGACGAAGACGAGAACACAGTTTGGTGAGGTGTACAACGAAAAGTCGAAGACACTCGAATAGAGGACTTTCATAAACTATTGTTTTAGAGACCATCCAATGAAATTAGTCTGTAATCGAGACATCAAAATGGGGTGCTAAAGGCTAGCAAAATCCTACAACTTCCTCGACCAAACCGTCCTTTTAGCATGAATTTAAATGCGTATGTACTGGTTCGTCGCGTTGGTTCTAGCATGGCGAAATACGCAGGGCGTCATTCGCACCCTGTCCTTCAAAGAAAGGATCATCTAAATGGATCCACTGATTATTACGCACCAAAACAATGCTAAACAAGGGATTCGCTGGAGATAACTTAAAATTCGATGACTCATGCCAGACGGACTGTCAAAATTACACCAAAGGTGTAAAGTACAAACAAGTGACAGATGAGTGCGCATACCTCGATATGCTGAAAAAGCTATGACAAATAGTTTAACCACTAAGGCAGTAACGAGGTTGGAAGGATAGAAATGAGTGCTCCGAACAAGCTTAAAAGTACCTTGCCAACGGAGACACGACAGATGAATCTGATTACCAATATCACCCATTTCAAAGTCTTGTTAAGATGGTAATCTATGACTTTGTTCCTGTCTCGTAAACGGTTACAGCCAGGTAACCACCGCAGTAGTTGCTAAGGCAAGTGTGCAGTGTTGTGCAAGTTTCGCTGATAGCATTTATGGTCTCCAATCTTCCAAACATTCGAAATAAGGCCCAGGTTCCCTTAAAACGTCTTTGGTCGTTATACAGGGGCTACATTGTAGTATTATTTTAAGCAGACCACGGTTGCTGGCATGTTTTTGAGCCGTTGAAGTGAACAACGACCATTAAGAGCGACGAAAGCAGCACGCAAAACAAAGTGGAAACCAAGTAACATAAGGTTAATAGCATTGACTGCGGTTGTTAACTCGCTAGTCTCTCCTATTCTTAATGATCCAATGTGGTGCTACAAACATTGTCAAGTCTCCATTCTTCGTGAAGCTACTTCAAGAAAGACACCAGACCTTACCAAATGGATTGCAACATAACGGCTTTAAGTCCCCCTTACAAAAAAGGTTTTCTGCTAATAAAGCCGAAATAGTAACTCACATTTGTGGCATTTTTGGGTGGATCACAGAAGAAAAAGGTGTTTTCAATCATAAGAGAGTAGCGCGCATCCATGTGAAGGGCATTCTTCTTGCGCAGCATGATCTCCAGGTAGATTTGCGTGCGCCGATGAGTGGCCGGCGAACGGTAAAGGAAGCGGCCGCAGGTGTCCAGCAACCCGCAGGCCATGTCGATCTGGTGATGCACAAAGTTGGGCAGCAAGCGCTTCACGCAGTTCAGTGCCTCGTCCGCTGGGAAGACGCGGAACTTCACCAACTCTCCTAGTCAAGTTAGATTAGAATTACTCAGTGAATTAAAGTACCTTCGAGTAACTATTAATAATAGTGAAGCATTAGGCATGAAGTGTCCCGTATGATAGTTGATTCCAATTTACTACAATATTGTTTTGATGGCCGAATCAGAAGAATGATCACATAGAGTCAAGTATGACGCTCAAAAGAGGGCTAGGACTGTGCGACTGTTGGTCTCCTATGAAGTAGCTTCCGAGTCTTTTAATGCTGCCATACTTATCCTCGATTACGACCATAGAGATAAAGGAGACTACATCTTTACTATGAGTAGGAAGGATCATAAGGGCAGTTTAATCATGCTCGAATAGTGTCTCGAACATGTCGAAAACATAACGGAGAGTATCCCAACCTGCCAGCATAAAGTCGTAGCATTCGGGCAACGGAACTAATGATTCTGCAGCCATTTTTATGTGAAACACTTCTTGAAATAGCCCGACTAACATGTGATGATACACTGAGAGGTATTTAATAGACTAGAAGACAATTGCTTCAATAAGAGGAGTCCGTCATGCGAGGGAAATCCGAGCGCCCAAAAGTTGGATACTTAGTTCACCTAAAAAGCGTCGACGTGAGCCTTTCAGTTGCTGCCATTCGAATACGGCCTTATCCAATTGTTCGCATTAAGTAAAGTCATTTAATTTTGTAATAGTCGAACCTTGAAACGCTAAAATTATGGGTGGAAAAACTTCAAAATATGTATTCCTTTTCCCCAGGTTTGATACTAGAATCAATCATCATTGCTTACTTATGCGAAAATAAAAGAATCCCAAAATCTTCCGGCCCTGTCTATCGTATAAGGTAGCAAAATTACTTCAAAACATGATGGGAGTGTCTACAACCCCAGAGAAATGCTCCTGTTTAACTTTTTAGGACTTTCCGCTCTTTTTGATAGCTGCCAATCATTCTGGAAATCGTGATTCTGCATGGCCAAGCGACTCCGACTCAGCTGAAGTCTATGACTTGACTCTCGGCGGTCGACGTGATTCCTCGACTAGGCCCGTACCCACGCGCCATAGCCTTGAGTTGACCCGCCCGCGTTTATCAACAAAGCTTTCTGTCCTGAGGTATTGACGCAATTGTTATCTGGTTGGTGTGAGATAAAAACCTCCGGCTGCTTCCGCACACAACGCCAGGTCATGAGAATTAGCAACCAATGATAACAGCGGCAGCTCAGCTGAGCGTGCAAACTCTCCGTGCTTTGCATAACTTGATCGACTATAGGAGAATAACACGCCCGACAATTTTTAATAATTATTATCACTTCACCTAGGCAATTTAACCTTAGCCGAAATCGCCTAAGTTGGAATTGTTATGAAAGAGTGGTCTCGTATAACCCGTTTCCAACGTTATTTGCAGCTTGTGTGTAGTCGCACCAAAATCAACTATTTGCTCTCCATCACCAGCAAAAATTCTTCTTATTTTCCAGCGCATTGCACAAAAGAGATGATTTTGATCTGTGAGTGTCCACTGATAAACAATGATACCTTCTTGAAGTGGAAGTATTCGACAAAATGGGCAAAGACTCTGAATCAAGTGTCAAAACTAAGTACCTACAGAGATCAGCTATTATTTTAGTGGCCAATTTAGGTGACTACGCATTGGAGCTTCACCGAGCTAGATAAGTCGAACTGGCAGGAGGGAAGCCTGCTAAGATTTCAAGACTGGACAACTGAATGAGGCGCTAAGCCCTTGAAAGACTGTTTACACGAAGCCCACGCAAGCATTCCTCTTTGAACCAAGCGCAGCAACTGGTCCTTACATCATTATCAATACGAAAAATGTTGGTTTGTGTCCAGCGTTAGCTTTGCGAAGCTCAACCAATTGATAACAAGTGAAAGCCTTACTAAATCAGTTAAACAAAATGACAAGATGTTGTAAACTTGCAAATAGGTAGAGAAAATTGGTCAGGATAAAGGGCAACACCGAGTCTGCAAACAATACAGGATTGGACATTTTACCGCTCATACGAATACCACGGACCAAACTCCAAGCGGGAGATGGACTTAGGATCTCATGTGCGGCATTCACCACGTCCCCAAGATATATACCTCTATCAAGCTATAGAATAATATCCTATTAAATGCGCGAAAGATGTTAACAATGCCTCTTGCAATTTAACAGTCTTCGAATATAACCGTATAAACAATGCACCTTTCCTTTTAAATGAAAAAAAAAAACAGTCATCGCTAGATTGGGCGAACGAGAAGGCTGTTTACACGGCTTCCTGATTAAGATATAACGAAATAAACATTTAAATGGAAAGGCGTTCCATAGTTAATAACCGAACGACAAAACTATCCACCGGAGCAAAATTTTGCGTTAAATTTTTACACTGCAAAGACGAAAACTCCATTTGGCTATCCTCTAAAGCTACATTCCTCATTTATTAAAATGCAAATTTAACTTTCGAACTGCTGTGATCGAAGGAAGCAAAACTAATTGTAAATAGATTTGTAGAGCCGTTCATGTTATGGCACATATGACTTAGAAGTCCCACCGACATACCACCTTAGTCCAGTAATAACAAGTGTCCTGTGGTTATTTTCCTTTCAAACTCCGATTCACAAAGAAGGGGGATCATAAGTACCTTAGAGTACAGGACAAATAAGTTCTTATACAAGAAAGTGTCCGTCCGATCCCACCTTATTCAGACCAAAAGATCTAAACCTCGAAACCAGTCGACCACATTCCATAATTGACTACCATTTCTTCTCCTAGACACAAAATTCCCTCTTGAATTGTAGAAGCACTTATTTCGGCTCGATGATCCCACCGTCCGAGATTCTAAGCCGCCAATTACCTCAATGGTAAAAAGGTATTATCAACAGTTAACTCAAAAGGGGAAGTCGCGTAACTTACTCCCCACCGTATAACTGAACACCGTTCTAAATCGGAATGTTCAATATTCAATGATCACTAGCTCTAGATACTAAGCACGTACCAATGAAGCGGACGGTCTTCAGTTTGGACTCCAAATTAACCTGGTCCTTCTTATGCAGGTGCCAGCGAAACTCCTGGAGCAGAGCGTTATTGAGGTCCTGGCTGAGATCAGGCATTACTGGATTAAGAGTGGCTACAAAGCGTGCGTAGAAGGGCAGGAGGTCGTAACGTGTGCGTGGCACCGAGGCCAGCGCATTAGCCAGCCGCCGGCGATTCGGCTTCTTGTTTAGGTTCACGCAAAAGTCGTACGCTGCCTGTGAGGAAAGAGATAAACCATCTCAGTTAGCTGGTAAGAGCTGAAGTGGAGAAGGGAGGAGGTGAGACAATAGACGAACCCGATCAATGAGGTCGCGATTGACGCATTTGGGAAGTTGAGTGAGGAAAGTGTCCATCATCATCTTCGCACTTGGTGGGCCCTCTTCTTCACCTTTACGAAATGAAGATAAAAAGAGGAAAGTGAGTCAGAGCATTCACACGTTTTCAAACTCATGCAAGCACGCCTGCAATGTGCCTAAAAATCTCATGTCACGTGGCATTACACCACCGTGCAAACAGCAACAGGAGCCTAGGTGCGACAGTTCGGTTTGCTCAATAATGTGCAACTAGCAAATAATCAAACTATCTGGATGGTTTCAGTCGCTACTGAATTTCGCTTCAAAATGATGTATGCAACAAAACTCCATTAACATGACAGATGGTGGATTGGAAGGTTTGCACTTTTGATGTGCTTAATGCCTCAAAATAAGCATCTTGGAGAGAGGTCGTTTTAAAATAGGATAACATCACCTTTCCTGGAAATATTGCACTAGGATGCACAGCAAAACTGCTGCATCTAGGCCATACTTTACTAGGAAAGGGTTTGAAATGGGCAGATATCCCAGTTTTCACATTGTAGGAAGCAACATAGAAGTACATTTGGACTTTCCAATACCGCCGACAGCAATACCACCTTAGATTCATCGCTGGATAAGGTATGGGCAAGGGATTTGGCTACACGAACGCTACAGATAAAGGCAAATATGAAGTTTGGCTTTGGCATTCAGCGGCATAAAATTCGAAGTTGATTGCTTAGGGAACATTCGTCACCTCCCTTAATTAAACCACTTAAGATCGCCCCTTGCCATAAATAAGCTCAACAGAACTCCTACCAAAATGCACTGGAATGACACCTGCTTTAAATACAAAAGACTAAACATGTCCTTTCAGCCTTCCATCATTCTACCTCCACACCGGTATTATGGAGTTCCATTTGCGTTATTCGCAACACTATTCGCCTAGTCCCCTGCACGCTTAGAATAGAGCTTCTGCGGTTATTCAGCCCCACATTTATAATAGTAACAAAAGTAAAATAAAGATAAATCACAAACTGACGTGTCTCCGGGGAAAACTTGTCTACAGACTTTTGCCCTGTAGAGGTTGAGGATGCGGCGCTACCATTGGCGGAGGTTGACGACAATCCCCCACCTTCCTGGCCAGCCTCGAGAGTTTTTGGGCAGATAATATCCTCCTCTGCCTCCTCTTCTGCCTGTGCCAATTCACTCTCCACCTTTTCCACGTCGATTTCTGTCAGATCCAGGACATGCGGGGGAGGAGCACATACGTTCACGCATTACACAGACAAGCATTTGTTTGAATTATGCCCTTTCAGTCTCCTACGATTTGGCTAGCAGCCCGGTACTGTGTTATCCTTACCAAATTTCTCCCAGTCTCTGCACATTTGTATCTATATCCAGATTTGTTCAATTTAAAACGTTTTTGGAGATGACCCAGATGATACATTGGTAGCAGTAACACGCAAACCCCTTTCAAAAGGCTGTAGAATGAAGACATCTATAGTGGATGACTGAATCCGGACAATTAGGGCAATTGCAAAAACTCCGGCTCTGCACAATGGCCAGTAACACAACAAGACCAGAGCTAAGCCAGTTGAAAACATCTTTTATGGAAATTATTGGAATTTTTGAATGAACAGTTAAATGATTAATATCATAATAGGAATTCTTACTTTTTCACATTAAAAAAAGCCAAGAGCAACCCAAATCAGATGTTGGGCAACATTACAATGGTGAAAATATGGTTAGGGGGTAAGAGTGCGGAAAATGTCCCCATTAAACTACTATATATTGCATTTTAATGAATGATTCTATCTCAAAACAAATGGTCCCCACAACAGAGATTTTTGTAGGAAATACGCTTTTGTAAGACACGGAGGAACCTTGAGCAAAACAGAATAAATGAGCCCCTAAGGTGTGGTTGATGAAGAGTATGGGACGGATGGTTTTCCCGTAAATAAACTGCATACATCACCATGCCCGCAATCAGATGTCGTGGCGGAGTTCTCGTTTCACAAATTTGACTGCTTTGTGATAGCAGAAAAAGGGAAATTACACGATGATTGTCGAGAACGATGCTGGAGAGAGGAGGAACAATAGGTAAGGGAGAGATATCTGTTTAAAGTACAAATTCAACAGCGAGAGCCTTTCAGGTTCCGCAAATCGGCCACCATTTAAGTGTCACGACTTTCTGTCCACGTCACCGTTGCTGTTTGTCACTCAGCTCGTCTCTACACTTGTTACGAAGTCATGTTCAGATATACACCTTATAGGGTCAAACATGGCTTTAATCTCCATTAGATAATGATACCTTTGGTATTGCGCATTAATATTAGTTGCGCACTAATCACTAGTGCGCTAGTCCCCCTTTGAGGTCATATCAAATCACGTGGGTTTCAATTCTTGGAGAAACGTATCGCATAAACATAACAAGGAAGCCTAGAAATATGGATGGCGCAATAGGCACTAGTAGCTTCACGCAGTACTTGAGAACTTCGCCTACCATCGTTAGAGGATTCATCTGCAGAAGCAGGATCATCCTTTTTGAGCTGTGCCATCTTCGAAGTGGACTGCTCGCTTTCTTTGTACAAAATCTAGGAGGGAAAAAGGAAATAAATACTGCTGCAGACTTCGAAATTTCCCTTCCTTAACAAAAACTCACAGCAGGGATCATGGCACGAATGTCCTGCAGGCTTTCGTAGAATAATCGCGTGTCCTCATCCTCGAATAGAGACGAGTTGTCAGCGTCACCACCCTACGATAGAGATAAGGATAACAAAGGGCACATTACATCAGGGCAGGGCTATAGCAAGGATGACGTAATCGTGTCACAATGAGGGTAAGTCAGCTTGACCTTTGACAAGATCAGCCGCACGTAAACCGTTAAAAACAGTTTCAGAACCTTTTATAATCTGTTTACCTCAAATATTTGATTCCTCCATGATGAAACTGATTGTGAACATTGATCATCCTTCATAAAATATTAACTTAATTAAATCCGACAATGACTGGTCTTCCCAACGTCGAGAGCGCTCTGTACCTATCAGCACGACTACTGCCAAAATTCCCAATCCACTCGCAGAAGACTTTGCGAGGGAAATTTGCCTTTCTACTGAAAACGCACCCCAAATACATGAATTTGTGATACTGGCAAACATCTGTCGTTCACAATAACCAAAGCGTAGCATAATTTAGACACCGAGTTTTACAGCCATCTTTGTCTTAAAATAGCAGCTGCTGTTCAATGACAGCCCTAGTTGACTCACAAGACAAAAAATTAAGTGAAGTGTTTGAAAAAATATTACCACTACCCCTCCGAAAACCGCCTCCAAAATTTCCTTTGTGATAGGGTGCAGTCGGAGTGAGTGAAAGGTGATCCTCCAACCAACACTGGTTACAGCGTAGGACTTAGGTGACGTCAGTGCCATTGCATTGCTAAAACCAAGGTGACATCACGCACTACGTGGGCTGTTCGAGACATTGTTCGCATCTTCATAACTCTGTGTATATGACTTTTCCAACAGTGACATTTCTTTTTGATGCGACTTCATAAATCGGGCGGGTGAAACCAACAGCATCAGCTTTTTTGTTGTTAATCATCCGGAGCACCTTAAATTACGCGCAAATCAAAATCCTCGATGCCACCAATGGAAGAGAGAAGCCACCGTCTCCACGTTGAGCACACACGTCGATCGAAATAAAATTGTGCTCTTGGCATCACAGAGCACCCCATAACCGACTGCCAGCCAGTGCACTTACCTGTAAGGACAGTCGCCTCACCAGACAAAATTAGCCAAATGACGCACTCATACAAAACCTATTTGGCCACTTCATCTCTACCTTTCGTTTTTACTGATCAGAAATGTTAAAAAATAGGAAGACGCTTCAAATTTTTGACATCAAGGAGCATGAAAGCGTTCAAGACAAATTGATAACGAAAGTATGGAACAAAATGCCCAAATTACAATGAATTAGCGTAGTATTCTCGCAGCAATGCCAAATGTTTCGCAAAACAAAGTATACCTAGATAGCTATGCCTGTTTGGGGAAAACTAGTCAGGGTTCAAACGCCATTAAAAACGGTGTTTGCATTCATAAATAAGCAGGAATCTAAAATATTTTAATCAATTACCAAGAAACTGCCTGCATTACAAAAATGTCTTCCGTTTAGGATGCATCAATTGAATTTCTCGTGCCAATAAAAAGACTAAATTTGGGCTTTTTAGGATAGTAGGCGTACGGTTCTTGGGTTTCAAGGCAAATAACAGTGAAAAGTGACCTTACCTCAGAGACATGTAGCTGACCTTCCGTCTTCAACCCATTATTCTCATCCTCCTCAACTAGTCAAAAGAAAAATAAAACTCAGCAACGACTACGGGTGAGGAAAGAGAAACGACGCACAACCCACCTGCAACAAGTGTTTCCATAGCAGGTGGTGCCTCCTTATCCACAACGTCAGCAAGAATAGATACTGCCTCGTGGAACTTCTTGCAAGTCGCCACTAGCTGCATCTCCTTCTCATGACGCTCCGGGTGGACCTCGCCCTTAGTGAACATCTGGTGGCGGTTGGAGGCAATAACTCGGCGTGCCTCCTTTGCCATGCCCGTCAGACGCTCCAGTGCTGCTGTGTAGTAGTCATGGAAGAGACCGCGACACTTGGTCTTCCGCTCCTTCGGGAGAAACGCCGAACGCCGTATAGTGGCACCGTACTTCTTTGCAAGAGTCCTAAACAGCGTGAGCGTTGGTGGCTACTTACGTGTATTTTCGAGGGATGAGACCGGCCCAGTCGTCACCACAGGCCTTGACGAAGCTAGAGACAATACCAATGTTTACAAAGTTCTTATCCCCGTTAGTGAGTTGAGTAAGTTGGAGTGCGAGGAGCCGAACACTGTCATTCTCGGGTAGAACGCCAACCGTGATTGAGTCGGCAAAGAGAACCAAATCGACACGCAATTTAGAGAGGTTTTGAGCCTAAGTTAAGAGCATGACAAGGGGTATGGTATAACTCACTTTCTCCGTCTTCTGCTGTGAGAATACCTTCTTCCAAGCGTCCAAAAGAAGACTGGAAAAATCAGAATACCGACGGTGCATGAGCGAGCAAAGTTGTAGCATAAATGGAATGTCTGTCATCTTCACTTTGGGCTCTGTTATGGCGGTGGCCACCTCTGCTACGTACTTTGACAAATTCAGCCCCTCAAAATCCTTTAGGAGCGATTCTTTAGAGCTTTCTGTTAAGTTTCGCTGGAGAAAAGAGGGTTATGAAGTATAGCGACATACAATCTTCTTTACGAAAGCAGTATTTTTCTTAAGAGTTGAGTCTTTCTTGGAGAAGAACCGTTCGTCAGGCCAATTGTTCACAGCCGCATTGTTTTCTCTCAATAAGTCTGACTTCATTGTGAGCTTTTCAGCAATCTCTGACATGTAGTCAGAAAGGACTTTCTGCAGAGGTTAAAGAATAAAAAATTAACAAACCTTATTCTCTTCATCACCCGGCGAGGGAGGCCTTGACTTAGCAGCTAAAGGGGGGAATCCAACAAGAATTAACAGAAACTTCAATGCATCAGATTAACTAAGTTTTGAACGTTTGACATAAATTGATAAGGTTTGGGTACGAAGAAAATTCACGGTCAGAAAAGCGCTTTGAGTTTGACATTCCTATCCTCTTAAGCGTTAAGCTACATCAAAATGAATGATATTGGCAAGAAAGTGTGGACAAGTAATCTGTCGCATTGAATAGCCTACATCAACTGTTCATGCTAAAAATTTAGTTCGTGAATTAGTTTAAGACATTTCAAAGTCCTAGGATTCTGCTGTTACGATCCGAAAAGACTGAATATAAGCTTGATTCCTCCATTTTGCTTTCATAATTAGCGTCTCGAGTAACTAACAGAAACGTGTAAAACATGACACCATTGTTTGGTCAAAGCTAGGCGCAACAGACTTAATAGAGAGTATTAGCATCAACCTCAAGTTGCCTTAGAACTTCCAAATTGTAATTTTAAAGTAGATATGTACAGTAAGTCAACCTATCAATACCATACTTCTTTACAGTGGACGACAACAAAAAGCCACATAGGGACCTGAATAAGACCTGTTTATTTCTGTTAGTCCAGAAGCAAAGGTGGTAATACCACAGTATTTAAGGAAAATCAAATAACTACGAGGACGAACCTTCGAACATCATGAGAAAGCGAGCAGCATACAACCGACTCCAAAGAGTTAGTAAACTAACCAATGAACATTAAACAATCAGCGCTAACATTATCAACAGTATCGTTCGACTGATAAAACAACATTTGCCTAGCAGAAGATAAAAATTGACTTAAACAAGCAATATTGCGTGCATTTTCTGCCAAGAAATACAAAAATTATTACCAAATTGCAGGCAGATGCTCAACTTTTAATAGAAAATGTTACAAGCATTATCGTGAGGTTATTTAAAACAAAAACCAAATTACCATTTTGTACAACTTTACAGACAGCAGAAACGGGGGATAGCTTACAATAATTGCCAATTATTTGCGTTGGTAGAAACTTATATTAAGTTGGTTGCTTTAGACCCCACACTGTTGTGTGTATTACTTTTCAAGTTTTGAATTTGTGTGGGAATGGTGAAGCTGTCACCTACTTAATAGGCATACATTACAGCCTTTTAAATGCAAGCTAATGTTTTTTTTGATGTTTACCGCCCTGGACTTTATAAATCCAATATTAAGGTAACGAGACCGCCTAACTATTTCGTACTTCTCCATGGAAAAATTATTTTCCAGTGGCCTTGAATGTATCCATGTCCCTTAATGTGGTTTTTCAAAGGGCACGATAATGCTGACCTGTTTCGAAAGCCCGATATTCAAATGTTATCAAGTATTTAATGATGAAGTAGTTGCCACTTTTACGGCTACTGCTCCTTCTCCTCAGAGGGATTTTTACCATTTGCAGGTTCTAAAAGACAAGGTAAGGCTTTTTCTCAGAAAGTAGTCATTGAGGGCCAAAGGATTTCTTGTGTATGCTCATATGCAGACTATGCTCTTGGTAATTAAATACCCGTGTAAATAAGTGTGAGGATTTTGGAATGTCTAATGGCCTTGCGTTTTCGCCCATTTGTCCTTGTTATTTTTATTTTAAGTACTTTCAAGTACCCAAAACATGTTCCAATGTTATTGAAACAGATCATCTGGAGAAGCTGGCGAATAACATCACGCAATGAAGCAGAGAAATATAGTCCTACCCAACTTGTTGAATCATTTCCAGGATTTAAGCAGAATGAACAATTAAGAGGTATACTATTTTTAATACGCATTTGAGTATTACTAGGCCAGATTCGTCATATTATGGGGAAAAATACTGTGAGATTTTGTGACTGTGTCGTTAAAGGGCAACTCGATTTTCTGCCTCGTATGCCACCCTCTATACTAAAGAGAATTATTAATTTCGTCAATGCTGAGGACATTGTTAACCTGGGGAGGTCCTGCAAATCAATATTTGAGGTAAATTCTCTTTGACTGACTTCGTCAAAATTGATTACTATTAATTACACCCAATTTTTGATATTTCTTGTTGGTCTTTGTATTTGACTTTTAAACTAAAATGCAAGTATTCATTTATGCTAATATTTGGTGGCAACCCAGTTGTAATTCAATAACAAATCTAAATATGGTGGAATATTTGATTAAAGTGAACTTGGTTTGAAATTGTTCGAAATAAATTTGGTATTGTTTGTAAGCTGTAGTAATGTGATCGGTCTGTAGTGATTTAGGCGGATATTGTTTGTGCCTATAATGGATTTTCGCAAGTTCATCTGTTTCAGTCGAACATATTGTCCTAATTTTTCTAGTGCATGACACGCTTAGCCCTCACAAAAAATCATGTCCTGATGTCTTTACTGCAAAAATGAAGTGTTTTAATATACTCTAGAAGGAAATGTTTAATCATCTGCTTTGGGATGCATTTATTATTGCCATAGATATGCAACAGCGATGAAGTCTGGAGAGCTGTATATTGTCGATATCACAAAGAGCCTCCAAACAAAGTCGTTAGAGAACTGGCAGAAAAATACGGTTGGAAACGCGTCTTCTTTACGAATAAGTTGAAACTTCAGGTAAGTGAACAACTGTGGACTTAATTTAACCATGTTATCTTTTGAATAAGGTTTTATAACAAATTACTCCATTTCAGCTGCAAATTCGCCGTCTGCGATTGGATAGGGGCCAGCCCGCAGGTGACGAAGCAGCAAACGATAAAATAAACAACGTGGCAAGCGGTATGAGTATCTTTCTCACTTATCCTTATTTTTAGCCAGTAGCATAATCCTTTGTCATCGCTTTTTAATTACCTCTTTTTAGGTAAAACTCCCACCCTCATGGATTCACAGTCTCAGCACCCACAAAAAGCTTACCTGAGAGGCTTCTCAAGTCTTGAATCCTAGAGAGGGGTTGACATGCTTCGCAGAAGGACTTGGTATTGCTCTCCAAGTCTTTCTTCCATTATTTATTTGACTATAGAAGCGCTATGGACTATAAATCAGGGGTAGAAGGCGTGTGTTACTGAAAATGTTCCACTATTTTGCATCAATAAATATGCTCTAAATGCGAATAATCTTTTAAAACACGGAGGTGATTTGTTGTCTTAGCCAGTCCTAGAATTATTTGGCTTAAGTCTACTCTGAACGCCGATCAGGTTGTGTCGTTAAAATTTGTGACAGGTTTCACTGAAATGTGTGTTGGCATATGTTTGCTGAGCAAGCAAGCCTGAGCATCATGTCTTCTTTCATCTTCAAAGAAGACTTGGGGTGCCATAGTAGCAGACCATAAGTACAATAAGTTATAGTCAAATACAATTTGCACTTTTTTGTTACAAAACAGTGGTGGACTTTTGCATTTTAGGGCATTTACTTGCAACCAATTTAATCAACAACATCCGA